CACTAAGCTTCAAAGCTTTTTCAGCTCGGAGCAATTCAATTCTCAATTCTATCTGCCGTCCACCACCATGTAATCCCGCATCCGAGATTCATTATGTTGAGCGTCTTCGAGCGATTCGCAGGAGGCGTCTTATGGCATGACATTCAAGTGCCATGATCTCGGTCGGATCATACAAATTGATTGCGTTTACTGCAACTTTGGGTTATTTTTATTGCAAAAAGAGACTTCGGTGTTTATTGTTTTTTGATGGGGTTGGTTCTTTCTATATTTTGTGCTCCCCTTTTTGTACTTAAGCACTGATTGATCAATTGTTTGCTTGAGTTTGTCTGACCTTGACCTGATTCTGAACTTCTTTATTGATTTCTCTTGTAATCTATAAATTCAAAGTGCAATATAAATAATTCTTTAAAAAAAATTATTTAATACATTTTCTTCATGTCCAGACTATAAACATTATTCTGTTAACTCGCTCAAATTAATAATAAAATACACCAGATAAATTCTCAACTTGGCTTATTAGGTAGGTTAAGGAGTGAGCTTACTATGATTGCGTATTAGTGTTAGAGAAATGACTCTCGTTTGAATTTTCAAATTCTTTTATTTTTGTAGGATTTTTTTTAAAAATTTCTAGGAGTTTGAACTTTCAAGGGGAACCCCGGAAATAATTTATTAGTAGGATATTCCCAACATATCGTTTTGACTTTTCTATAATTAATTTAAATGAATTGACCCAACTGATCCGATGGAAACTAGCTTTTAAAATATTTTTGTTGCGGTTGTGATATGGTTGTAACATTAGAGATACAACCACAACAATATGAAAATAGACAATAAATTTAGTTAATATCTAAAAAATTATGAAAGTTGACAATTAGAAAGATAATCGTGTTTCATTACTTCTTTATGTCTCTTTTAATGTTAATTTGAGACTAAAACAAAACTAAGAAAATAATAGGGGGAATAGTGTCACCTAACGAGTTAAAAAAATTGAGAGAGAAAAATATGAAAAAAAATATTGCTAATAAGGTTTTGCGGATACGTTTTGAAAAAATGGAGTAGAAAAAATATGTACACAGTGGGTGTTTGGTCAAAGATTCACTTGAATGAATTTATCTAACAATTGAAAGTGATTCCACCTAAATTTATTTTGTGTTGTCAGCTCATGTTGCCACAACAATAAATGAAAACATAACTTAATATGTTTTTCGGTCTCTTTTCACCTCTAAAAACATAAAAGAAAAGGGCAATGATACTAAGGCTAAGTATACATATCAAGAATTGTAAAATGGTTCTAAAACTAGTAGTAGAGTATTTTGTGTTGAATTCGTGACCAGATCGTAATTCAATTATATCAGAACACTACAAATCTAATACCAAGTAAATCTCAAAAAATATATTTTTATAATCGGACAATCAATACAATACGATTTCGCAAACGTTTGTACACATATATAAAAACTCCCCATCACGCACCTCAAAGCAAATTGGAGACCTCTGCCCACTTGTTTCTCTCTTTCTAGCAAACCTAACTTCTTCTCTTTTTCCCACAGAATTCCTTCCCCCAATTCAATTCAATACAATTCAATGATCACAACCTTTAAATGTAAGCTTCCCACGTATGTTCTTCGCACCACCGTATTATTGTAACCCTTCTGGGTTCTGCCTCTGCACTCAACAAACCTGTAAAGAAAACAAACATGGCCACGTCCACTCTCCCGATTCTCTTGCTTATCCTTCTTGTAGTATCACGGAGACATATTCAGCCGGCGACCGGCGCCGGCGGCAACGAAACCGACAGACTATCACTTCTCCAACTCAAATCCACACTGGTAGACCCACTTGGAGCTCTGAGCTCATGGAACCAAAGCCTCCATTTCTGCCAATGGCAGGGAGTAACCTGCAACAACGAGGAAGAAGAGAGAGTAACCCAAGTCGACCTCAAGTTAAGCCAACTCAGCGGCTCAATCTCCCCACACATCGGCAACCTGACCTTCTTAACCCACCTTATCCTCAACAACAACTCCATCTCCGGCGAAATCCCGCCGGAAATCGGCCGTCTGCAACGCCTTGAGGTGCTGGTTCTATTTCAGAATTCCATCTCCGGCTCCATACCGCCGAACCTCTCCGCCTGCTCGAATCTCACCAGATTGGGAGTTGCCTTCAACAGCTTGGCCGGCGAAGTCCCGTTACAGCTATGCAATCTCATCAACCTCCAGTTACTCTCGATTCCTTTCAATAACTTGAGCGGGAATTTCCCTTCCTGCTTCGGCAACGCGTCTTCCCTCCAGACGATCTCCGCGGCTAGGAATGAATTCGTCGGCGGAATTCCCGAGTCTCTGGCCCGATTGAGAGACCTAGGTTTAATTAGTTTTGGGGCGAATCGGTTTTCGGGTTCATTCCCACTTCAATTCTTCAACTCCTCTTCCATTCACACCATAAGCATCATTGAAAATCAACTCACCGGAATTCTGCCTCCGGATATCGGGTTCACTCTACCGAATCTGGTCCATCTCAACGTGGCTTACAACAATTTCTCCGGTCGAATTCCTGGGTCAATCTCCAACGCAACGAACCTGCAAGCTTTCGAGTTGGGCCACAACTATTTCCACGGCGGAGTGCCTTCTTTGTCAAAGCTGAACAAGATTCAATTCCTGGGACTGATGAACAACAGCTTAGGAAGTGGAGGTGTAGAAGATGATCTGTTGTTCCTCCATTCCTTGACCAACAGCACCTTTCTCCAAGGGATCAACATCGGATTGAACAATTTCTCCGGCGAATTGCCTCACAGCATAAGCAACTACTCCGCCAATTTCGTCAGGCTGAGCCTACGTTTCAACCCGATGATCACCGGAACTATTCCGGCGGGGCTAGACAAGCTAGTCAACTTGGAACAGCTGGATTTCTTGGGCAACAGTCTTTCCGGCAATCTGCCTGTTGAATTGGGGATGCTCCCCAAGTTCATGACTCTTCAGGTTCAGAACAACAGCCTGTCAGGAAGCATTCCTTCCAATATCGGAAATTCGACCAAGTTACTCGGGGTCTGGCTGCAAGGGAATCAACTGGAAGGTGAGATTCCGGCGAGTTTCGGGAAATGCAAGGATATGACGGTGCTGTATTTGGCAGACAACAATCTCAGCGGGGAGATTCCTCCGGAGATTCTCAATCTCCCGGACTTGAGTCGTGTTCTTGATCTTTCAAGGAACAGGTTGAGTGGTCGGATTCCTGAGGAAGTCGGAAGCTTGGTCAACCTTGGTCGACTTGATCTCAGCAATAATGTGCTTTCCGGTTCAATCCCGTTGAGTATAGGGAGATGCGTGAGACTAGAGAACCTAAACCTGATGGGAAACTTGTTTCAGGGTTCTATCCCTTCATCTCTTAGGACGCTCAAAGGTTTAGCGCTTCTGGACCTCTCTCGCAACAACTTATCAGGAAAAATCCCAGACTTTCTGCAAGATTTTAGTTCGCTGCTGATGCTCAACTTGTCCTACAACCATTTCCAAGGGGCCCTGTCAATGCAGGGCGTGTTCAGGAATTCAACCACAACTTTGATTGCAGGAAATAAAGAGCTCTGTGGGGGAATGCCAGAGTTTGGATTACCAAAATGCCTTACGGAGAGGTCCAAAAAAGGCGGTCTCAACACGATAGTAAAGATCATAATATCGACTGTAAGTTGTTTCTTGGGGCTCACTGTGCTTGTTTCATTCCTCTACTATTGTCTCTTGAGGAAGAATATCAAAGACCCCGAAGCACCTTCACCGTTTACTGGGTACACACTTTTGGGGCCGACATATCATAATCTACTCCAAGGCACTGATGGATTTTCGCCTGCTAATTTGCTCGGAGTCGGTAGCTATGGCTCTGTCTACAAGGGGCTTATAGCCATAGATGACGCCAACAAGATATTTGTTGCAGTCAAAGTGCTGAACCTTCATCATTATCGAGCGTTCAAGAGCTTCGTAGCAGAATGCGAAGTGCTGAAGAACATCAGGCACAAAAATCTAGTTAAGTTGTTGACTGTGTGTTCAGGAATCGACTTTCAAGGCAATGATTTCAAGGCCCTGGTGTATGAGTTTATGGTTAGTGGGAGCTTGGAGGAATGGCTTCATCCAGGGCTTCTTGATGAACAAGCAACAGAAAGGAGGGCAGAGTTGAGTCTCCTCCAAAGGTTGAACATTGCCATTGATGTTGGCATTGCACTGGATTATCTTCATAACGAGAGTGGAGTACCTGTAGTGCATTGTGATCTCAAGCCTAGCAATATCCTGCTCGATGTCAATATGGTGGGACACATTGGAGACTTTGGGTTAGCAAAGTTCCTTCCACAAGTGGAGCTCAACGCTCCAACAAATCATACGACAAACTCTTCTTCAATTGCTGTTCGAGGAACAGTTGGCTATAGCGCGCCAGGTAAAAAGCTTTCCTTCACCATTTTCGCCTTATTCCAGCAAATTTTCCATGTCCTGCCATTTGCCTGACTCTGGATCTGGGGAAACTTGCAGAGTACGGAATGGGGAGTGAAGTGTCCACCAATGGAGATGTGTACAGCTATGGCATCCTCTTGCTGGAGATGTTCACAGGGAGAAGGCCTACTGATGAAACATTCAGAGACGGGTTGAATCTCCACAACTTTGCAGCGGCTCTGGGTGATAATGCAGCAGACTACATTGATCCAAGACAAGATGACAACAGCAGCAGATCGAGAACGAATGAAAAGCAGGTGTTCGCAGAGGCAGTGGTTTCAATTGTACAAGTTGGGGTTGAATGTTCAAATGAAATTGCAAGAGAACGAATGGGCATAAGTGATGCTGTAACGAAACTAACAGCAGTAAGGGACAAAATTGTTAAGAGACGTAACTAGTCACAGCTTTAGCATTGAATGGTTCCGAGCTTCCCAGGTAAACTTTTGATTATACACAAAACTCATTTTAACATCAAGCTTACTTGATGTTCTTTGTTCCACAGTCTCAATCCATTTCCATTGGTTCCCTTTCGGGTAAGAATCTGGTTTGCTAAGACAGTAATAATACTACATGATAGATATACACAAATTCCTCTTTTTTATCACACACACAGCTTTCCCCGTCTCTGCAGAACAGAGTGTATTGAAAGTGTCTGAGAGCACCCTAAACTGCATCGTCGCTCATTTGAACCTACAAACATGTTATAATTGAGCTACTGCTGGGTAACAATCACAACTCCTCTTATGGAGCAGAAAGTATAAAAAATGCTACAAACTACCTCAATACGTGGAGCACATTAACCGAGGTACCGTAGCAAAACTCCATCATTTCCTAGAACGAACCCTTGATTTCCCTCCATGAACCTGCCATGAAAGCAAGCATTAAGAGTTGCTGAAGGCTAGAACAAACCATTGAGATTAATTTAAGCCGTAAGGTTGCACTCACTTCACTGAGTAGAGATTTGCAGCAATATTATCTGCTGCCTTGTCTCGAATCCATGACTTGCCTCCGTTGGTGGTTCTCAACAACACTCCACTGCCCCCTGCTGCCCAAGCCTCCTCCTGCATGGAAAAAACATTCATGAACGATAACCTTATGAATTCCAAAGAGACATCAAAGCTCAGCAGCTCTTATCCAGATTGCATTTTGTAAACATAAAATCCCAAGCAGTTCAGCAAGAAGAAAAATAACCTAGAGCATGGCATTTTTCACTAATGAAACATGAAAATCCCAAAACACTTACCTGAGAGCGGTAACCAACATCAAGAATGCCAAAACCACGACTTTGCACAGGGATTTCTTCAAAATCCTCAGTTATCTAGAAATGACAAACAACAAACTTGCTCATCAAGAAGAGCCAGAAATGACCAAGCCATGAAAGAAATGGGAAGTGGGGGAATAGAAGGAACAAACTCAAAAAGGGATAAGTAACAGTATACAAAGAAAAGAACACAGCAGCCATGAAACTAGAACAAATGTCCCAAAACTCAAAAACTAAATGAGAATCTGATCATGTCATGGCAGAGAACGAACATACCAGGTTTCTACAACTTAAGAGTAAGTTAGTTCATTTTCACTTACCCCAGTTCCCTTGCTGAGATAAAGCCCCCCTCCACGAACAAGAAGCCAAAGACCCCCATCAGCTCTCCATCCCATGTTTTGAATCCTTCTTGCTACAGCTCTATTATGTGGCTGCCAGAATGCCTGCACCCAATTAACGAGAACGCAAACCAAATCTATTTCAGATGATTATTTAATCAATTCCCTTACTTCGCAAGAAAACAAAGCAAAATTCAGAATAGAAAAAGCTCCAGAGTCTAATCTTGAGATGGACAGCAGAACTATAAGTGAGGAAAGAGCTGTCACCTGACCAGGCTCCCATGTCATATAGAAGTTGCCGCGGCTGGAGACAGCAACATACCTTCCATCTGGAGACCGATTAACAGTATTGAAGGTTCCTGTATAATAACTTGCACCACTAATACCACTAGAAACTGTTCTGCAAAAGAATAAAAGCCGCATCAACATCTTTCACCATTACTTAAGTTGAACTGTTCTCCAAGCAATCTTTACTATCGTCACTTTACTTACGGCAAGCAATATTAGAAATTCACCTACCTATTCAGAGTAGCTGAAACGGTCTCCTGAACTGCAGCCTTCCAGTTATATCCCCTATTTGATGTAACATAGATAGCACCTTCGTCAGTGACCATCTCCGCGCTTTGATCTCCAGTTGCCTTAATGTACACCTAGAGAGACATTACAACTGAAAGTGTCAGACTCGAAACACGAATTATTCATTCGAAATCGAACACCATCTCAAAACTCACCATGTCTCCAGGGAGCTGAGCACTCAGCGGTATCCTCTTCCAGGTTTCGCCGGCATCAGGCGTGTACAACAAAATCGCAGGCTTCCCGACAATCCAACCTTCCTTTCCTTTGAAGCTAATGGAATTAAACCTGTAATTGAAGTCTTCTTCCTCGGCTGAAGCTATGGATCGCGGAAACCAAGTAGCTCCCCCGTCTTTCGTCTCCAGAAGAGTCTGCCTCGTTCCCAATACAAACCCTATACATGAAACCAAGCTTCGAATTCAATTCAAATTCTAGAATTTTGCCCCGAATTGACATTTTCGAGAGAGAGAGGGTTACCGTGTTGTGGGTCATCGGGGACAAATGCAATGTCGAGGAGGACGACGCCGGGGTCGATAGGGAGGTAAACTCTTTCCCACTGCGAAAGCGCCTCTTCGGCGGCTACTGCCGGCCTCTGATCGATGAGAGTAAGAGGAGAGGCTATGGCAGCGGCGACGGCGGCGGATTGTGAAATGAACTGCCGCCGGTTCAGCTGGACACGGTGGTGGTCCTGGGATTCGTTCAGGCAGGCTCTAGGCGCTGGAAAGTAACGTTGAGAAGACTGGTGAGTCTGGGAGTTTGGTCGGAGAAGGAATGAGGCGTTGGTGGTGGTGAAGGGAGAAGTTACGGACGCCATTGTTGCTAGAAAGCGCTCCGCTCTTCTGTTCGTTCCTCTTTCGCTCTCTCCTTATCCTGTGGTTGTTATCATTAACGGCTACGCGGGCAATTTAAAGCGTCTCGTCGATAACTCGATATGCCACGTGTACCAGCCCAAATTCATCCCCGGAGCAAACCCGGCCCCTTAACTTTTGGACTAGATACTATGACAACACTCATTGTGTTGTTATTGTAACAACACTAGTCTCCAACCAATAGGAAGCTAGGGTTGTGATAACTTTTTATTAGATGAGTTGACCTAGTGTAAAATCAAAGCAGGGGTATAATTGTCATTTATGAAAATATGTTTAAATAATAATAAAAATAAAAAAATAAAAAATAAAAAAGTTTTTTTTATTTTCGGAGCAAAATTTTGGTCGCCGGAATTCGGCCACCGGTCGCCGGAATCTGGTCGCCGGTCACCGGAATATGCTTTTTGTCGCCGGAATATGCTATTTTGTAATCGGAATATGCCACCGTCGCCGGAATATGCCCACCGTGGTCGGAATATGCTTACCGGCATCGAAATCTAGTCATCGGGGCCGGAATATGCCTATCGGCGCCGGAATCTACTCACTGACGGTCATCGGAGTTTGGTCAACGGGTTTCGTTGACCGGTCAACGGTCTTCGTTGACCGGTCAACGGCCAACGACCACCAGATGTTATGGTCTACATCGTGAGATTTATGGTTTGGTTTCTCATATTTTTGTAAGCCTTTTGTGGTTTGCTTTATCGTGTTTGTGGTTTGCATTAAGAAGTTTCTGGTTTGCTTTATCGTGTTTGTGGTTTGCATTGAGAAGTTTCTGGTTTGCTTTCAAAAACTTTGTGGTTTGCATTGAGGGGTTTCTGGTTTGTTTTAATATATTTGTGGTTTGCATTGGGACGTTTATGGTTTGCTTTTTTGTGGTTTGATTTACTGTGTTTGTGATTTGCATTAGGAGGTTTCTGGTGTGCTTTCGCAAATGTTGTGGTTTGCTTTGTGAGGTTTGTGGTTTGTTTTAGGAGATTTGTGGCATGCATTCGGAGATTTCTAGTTTGCTTTTTGTGTTTCTGGTTTGCATTAAGAAGTTTATGGTGTGCTTTCGAAAATTTTATGGTTTGATTTGTGGGGTTTTTGGTTTGTTTTAATATATTTTTGGTCTGCATTAGAAGGTTTGTGGTTTGCTTTAGCATGTTTGTGGTTTGCATTATGAGGTTTCTGGTGTGCTTTCGGAATATTTGTGGTATGCTTTGTGGGGTTTTTGGTTTGTTTTAGGGGATTTGTGGTATGGATTGGGAGGTTTCTGGTACTCTTTTTGTGGATTGTTTTACCGTGTTTGTGAATGGCAGGTTTATGAGCGCATTATAAGTAACAATATCTCGTCAAATCCAAAAGTTTGCATCTCCTTGTAGACGTCCAGAGCCTCCTCAAGCTTATCAAGGTTAACATAAACTGAGAGCAATCGTTGTACAAAACTCTATCCAACTCAATCCCCTTAATCTTCATTTCATTAAACAACAGGGCATCATTCAATCTACCAGCTTTAGCATAGTACCCATATAATGCACCAGCGCCAACGGCTTCAAAATCACGGAGACAGCTCTCGAACAAGCCTACTGTTAAAATAATAAATGTATTTATCTATTTCATCTGTTATCTTCCTCCATCCCTCCAGCTAGCTCCCATCCCTCATCATCTTCTTTGCCCATTTCTCATCAATGTATCACTACTGTAGCCATCTCTCATTGTTGTAATCTCCCTGTATATAAACCTTTGTAATACATGAATACAAATCAAGCTTTCCAACACATCAATCCCTTCTGTAAACTAACACCTACCTTGAGCGCCACGGCGGCGGCGGAGCTCGCGTTCGCGTTACGCCTGGAGCAGAGAGCAGGGAGAGACGCGATCCTGGTGCGGTTCAACGGGAACCCGAACAGCAGTGGCTGCTTCACCAGGCGACAGTAGCAGTTGCTGCCGCCGATGCGGAATGACTCCAAGACGACGCTGCAGCACTTAGCCGAGAGTCGGTGGCGGCGGACTCTGTTCGGCGGCGCGGAAACGTAGCCGAAGCACGGAGAGAAATCCACCAGGTCGGTGAGGCAGTCTTCTGGCGACGGTGTGGACGGCGCAACCGCGGCGGCGGAGTTGGCGGCGAGGAGGAGTAGTAGCGTCGAAGCAAAAATCCGTACGAAATCGGTAGTCATCTTGAGAGAGAAAGACAGAGGTACAGAAAAAAAGAAAGCGAGAGGAGACGGAAACTCTGTTTCTGGTGAGTAGCGAACTCTGACTCTCTGATTCACTCCGGCGGAGGAAGAAGCGAAGCGGAGGAGAACGGTCGCAATGGTGAGAGATGAGATCTGACGGTGAATTTTAAATAATTTTATTTTATTATTTTCTATCTAATTTACTCTTTTACCCTTAATGAATTCTGTTGTTATAATAACAACACTAATAGTGTTGTTATTCTATCCGAACCCTTAACTTTTTCGCCCGATAGAGGAATATTGATTAGGGGTGGGCAACGGGACGGGACGGGATACCCGTCCCGTTTTAAATGGGTACCCAGTCCCATTTGGAGGCCAAAGTCCTTTCCATATGCCAAACCCATATGGGAAACGGGTACCCATTACCCGTACGGGACGGATAACGGGTACCCATACTACCCATAAATACCCAAAGTTTAAACCACTCAAATTTTAACAAAAGTTTAAACTTAACTTAATAACTTGTACTTGCTTAACAATCACAAGACACAAATCATGAATAATCACAACGCATAGAAATAAATCATTCTAAGCATCAAATTATCAAATAAGAAGTTTCATTCAACACAACCAAAATATAAAATAAGAAGTTTCTGCTTCTGCAAGTTGCTGCTACTATTCCTTCTACAAGCTGCTGTGCTACTCGTCCTTCTACAAACTACTGGAGTGCTGGAACTGGTCACCTTCTGCTGACTGTTGCGGTTCTCCCTTTTGCTACAGGCTATTGGAATCATTAATAACAGAGGAAGGGACAATAATTAATAACAGAGGAAGGACAATGCCGACCAAATGCTGCGGTTCTCCCTTTTGCTATGATACCATCCACAGTGAACATATCACAATTTATTTATAAGGACTGAAATATTGACCACAACAATACAAAAGCAACAAAGTCCAAAACAATTGAACCCTCCTTATCAATTACAACAAGCCCAAAAGAAGGTAAAACGTAAACAAAAAAAAGCAAGCAATCAAACGGAATTTAACCACAGCCTCCAGTGTAAACAACATTACTCCATGGAGGTGAAAGTGAAAGCCGAAAGGGAATAGGCAGGGTAAGGGTCGACTAAGGGTAATGGCCGAAATGGCAAGGCCCAATGCCACATTTCTGAATTAGTGAATTGGGTTGGGGCGCTGGGCTGTGGGCTATTTCTGATAAATGGGTATAACGGGTACCCACATTACCCAAACGGGTATTTGCGGGTAACCCGCGGGTACCCATATTAGGAATGTTCAATCCCAAGTCCCATCCGTTTATAATATTATGGATAATATGGGTACCCGTAACCCTTAAAAAACGGGACGGGTACGGGTATACCCAAATACCCGTTTCCCGTGCCCACCCCTAATATTGATGCTTCAATTGGGCTTTCTTTGCCCATCTCCACCCCAAATCCTATAGGAGCATACTTTTTTTAGGGGACATAGTCGGTGCCAGGTTAGTCCGCTAACCAAAAAATTAAACCGAAATAATTGGTTAGTCGGCTAATAATTTGAGTCATTTTTTTAATATTATTGTTAATAATTTAATAATTATTTACTTAGTTAAAATTTTGAAATGTTGACCTACATGTGTTTCTTCTAAGTCACTATCATATTGACAAGTCATTATTACTAATGGGTCGTTTAGATGGATCAATTGCAAAACGAGGCAATTTAGCCAATTGTCTTGTTTTATAAAATGAGTCATTTAAAACGAGTCAATTCGAATTATTTGTCTCCACCTCTTGACAATTGTAATTGCCTCAAAACGAGTCAATTCATAATTCTCCAGGTCAAATTGCTTCATCCAAATTTTATACCGCCAAACGAGTCAATCTGGTCCAATTGTCTCAAAACGAGACAATTGTGGCAAATTGATCTATTAGAATTTCTCCATCCAAATAACCCCTAGCAAAAAATTAGCTAGAAGTTAATATTTGTCTAACTATTAGTATTTCAATAAGTTCTGCTAATAAAAAAGAATGCAAAAAATATTTGGCTAATATTTGATCATTTGGAAATGTCTTAAACATTGTGAATCAAAATGCCAATGCCTTTGCCTTCCCTTCCCTTCCCTTCCCTTCCCTCGCGACGTAAATGACCAAATACAGCAAACTATCAAGCAACCGAAGCACCAAACAAAGCAATCAATCAAAGGCGACAGCCAAGAGAGTGAAACAAACAAGGATGTGAAGTACAACAACAAGTCAACGATGGCGGCTCCTTTTGCAGTCTAGAACTCGGTACGAAAGCCAGAAGGTAGAAATATATTAGACTCGCGAGGCAACGATTTCACTTCCTGAATACTGCCATCCTCCAACTGAAACACCCGAATGCTCTCAGTAGTCAACATGACTCTGGCCACATAATCATCATCATCCGAGTAGTAAATGCAATCCCTTCTCCCGCCGGCGATCTGTGCAGCCGGAGCCGAGAAACAACATTCCGTCGTCAGCACAAACACTGTTCCATCACCCCCCAACGACTTCACTTCAACCCATTCCCCCATTTCCTCATCCAGCTTGTAGACCTTGAAATCCACCGCTCTAGGGTTCCATTTCCTGCTCCTCCCCGTCCCCACAAGGTACCGGATTGCGTGAAAGCTGTTGTTAAGCGCATCCTCCACATCCTTCCAATTCCTCCTCCTCCCGTCCAAATACCTGTCGACCAGATACAGATCCCCACCGGACTCCACCAGATTCTTCTGCCCGCCGCCGCCGCCGTCGGGGATCTGCGGCGGCGAGTGGGACTCGACGAAACTCAAGGACGAATCGATCCGAGACAGTTTCCCCAATCTGTCGACGACGTAGAATTGACCCCGGTGCGGGACTATGTCGTCGTAATCGAAATTTTTGTCGTCT